TGGGGCCCCCTCCTTTCTGCCGGTGCGCAGCTTTCACCCCCCGGAAGGTCCGGGAGGTGAATCTGCTCGGCGCACCACCATAAACCGGAAGTCCGAAACTAAACATTCTTACAAAAACCCAGCCTGCTACGATTCTCCACTTCAAAATCTTTTTTAAAAAATTGCAATTAGTGGATCTTACACTTACTATTCTGCAAGACACAATATTCATACGATAGATTAGATACTTGTTTCTCCATCACTTATTCCTAAAGTTTGTACTACAAATATTGGTTCAAAAATTTTCACTGATCATCCATAGATTGAATGTGAGTTATCTTGGTCTGTTACACCAAAGACGGTAACAGCTTGGATGCTGAATAAATCACTTTTATTGCAAGAAACATTTAGAGATGAATTAGATAGCTTAATTAAATTTTATTTTGAGGAGAATTGGTCAGATGAAGTTCCTGTGGGTATTGTGTGGGATGCAATGAAGGCGGTGGTCCGTGGTAGATGCATTTCCATCGCCTCCCATCTGAAAAAAGAAAGGATAAGATTGATCACAGAACATACTAACAAAATACTTCATTTGGAAAAACTGCATCAAAAGACATGCTCCCCCCAAAAATTATAAACAGTTTTCTGCTGAGAGGAAAGCTTTAGAGGCACTTGAAACCACTAAAATACAGAGACAGATAACTTACTTATGTCAGAAATACTGGCAGAAATCTGAAAAGACTTTGAAACTGCTTGCGTGGTGTACCACGAAGCAACGGAATGTCAAAAGAATACAATTAACTGATCGTAAGGGACATAAACATACCTCTTCAATAGATATTGTCAAAATATTAGCAAATTACTTCAAGACCTTATGTACCTCAAACCATAAGACAACTGTTCCCTCAAATATTTTTTATAAATTAGGGAATTTAATGAATAGACTGACCAGGGAGCATCAGGCACTATTAGACAAAGAATTTCCCTTACAAGAGGTCATGGACACGATTAAGCTTCTAAAAACAAACAACACATTGGGTAATCATGGCCTACAGGCTGAGTTCTACAAAACATTTAAGCTCTCCTTAGTAGGCCCTTTAACCATCATTTGTAATAAAATTTTAGAAAGTGGCCAAATGCCAAAATTGTGGTTGGAAGCTACATTAGTGATGATCCCTAAACCTGATAAAGATCTGACACAACCTAGTTCCTTCAGGCCTATTGCGCTTCTCAATCAAGATGCTAAAATATTTACTTTGATGCTGGCCAATCGATTAAGATCTATAACGTGTAATTACATCTCAACAGACCAAACTGATTTTATGCCTAATCGCCAATTGACGGATAATATCCGTAGGGCCTTGAATGTGATAATGGAGGGCTTGTCGAACTCAATTGTTATGAGTGCCGAATTTGACATAAAGGAGACCTTGTTGGGCCAGGCCAGGTGTGTCATAAAATGTATTGCCAGGTAGCGGAGATATAAACTTTATAAAGGACACAAACACAAAGGTGGGGTTTTTTTACTTAAAATAAAAACATGCTTACAACGTTAGCACTCTTGCAATATGTTGTTTATTTAATAGTGTGTGATAACTGACACCTCTTGCTCTGAATTATTGCATCAAAATGTCTGTGCTGTTGCAATCTCGAGTATGCTGTTTGGGTGTGTATCTGTAAGCTGCAAACGTATGACGACACAGCAGCAGCAGCAGAACTGGAAGGAGAATCAGAAGACAGCCAGTTCCACTGTGGGCCTGATAGAAACCCTCTGTCGGCATGTGCATAGAAAATGCCTTAACAAGATTGCAGCTTGTTAGACAGATCATGGTGATCTAAATGACAGTCAGAGGTCACATGACCGGACATGTTGCATCAGCCTGCAGGAGGTGCTTCAGTGACTCAGCATCTCTGTGCTGATTGGATACTTGGACTACTGCATGTGTATATAAGTCTGTGCTGTATATACCACTGTATTCCAGTATGGTATCAGGTTGCTTGGCGAAGCACTTTGTCAGTGGAAACTGTGAATACATGGACTGTGTATATAATGTAAATAAAAGTGTAAATAGCACCAACCTAAGCTGGTGTGTGCAACTTCTATATGACTCTGCAACACTCGTAAAAGAAACAGGAGATATGTCACCAGCCATCATTACTCACAATACTGTCACCCTCTGGGGGGCCTCATCTGGCCCCTGGGCCGCATGTTTGACACCCCTGTGATAATGTATGGAAGAGCTAATAGTATTGAAAGTGTCCTTTTGTCCTTGGACATTCATAAAGCCTTTGATTGTTTAGAAATTCCGTATCTGAAACGACTTCTACTTGAGATGAACTTTGGCATAAGATTCCGGAAAGCGATTGATGCAATATATAATTTACCCTCAGCTAAAATTAGAGCAAACGGAATATTTTCAGAGAAATTTTTACTTACATGTGGGACACGCCAAGGCTGTCCTTTGTTGTCTCTTCTTTTCACCTTGGCGGTTGAGCCACTTGTGGAAGTGATATGAAGAATGACCTCCATCACAGGCCTGGTAATTGATAGTAGAGTGCATAAAGTTTCCACATATGCAGATGATATTATTTTATTATTTACTAATCCTCTGATATCTCTACCTTCATTAGGGCAAGTCCTGCATGACTTTAGTTACATTTCTGGACTTACAACTGGCTCCTCAAAATCATTATTATACCCTATTTTTTTGACATCAGATCTGGAACAAAAGATTAAGGTACATTACTCTTACAAATGGGTTGAAGAGTCTTTTAAATATCTAGGGGTGCATATTCCACTAAACCTGAAAGATATTAATACATTTTAACTTCAGTAAAACCTTCTCAGAAATTAGGTCACAATTACACTCATGGCATTACAAATCCTTTTCATGGCCATATCAAATTCACATAATAAAGAACTTTATTTTTATTTCCCCCCCCCCTTTTTAATGCTTTATTTATTATTTTCTATACAAAACAGAAATAAAACCATTGCATAAAGTGGTAAAGGTTTTCAGCGTCAACATCAACCTGACCAAGACACAATGAATGGCATGTAGGGAACCAAAAGGAGTTTCAAAAATACAGAAGGTCTTGATAATAGCGGTTATTGGGGAGAAAATCCCCATTAGGCAAGTAAACTATTATTGGGAATCAGATGACTTGAAATGTGCGTAGACGGCCACCCGTGGTGATAACAGCGTTCTGCGAGGCAATTTTATTCAGGAGAAAATGTTCCCATAATTTGTTTTTCCAGTTGTTCAGGGAGGGAGCTGCTTTATAATGCCTAAATTTTTATAATGCCTAAATTTATAATGAACTTTATAATGCCTTTTTTATTTCTTTTTTGATCTGTTCCTATATATATATGTTTAATCGATCTTCAGAAATGGCAGAAAGAACTAAACAATTTTACTTGGAATTATAAAAGGCCAAGGTTCAGGAGTTGTATTTTATATAGACCGACTGCTTTAGGTGGTCTTGATCTGCCTAATCTGTCAAATTATTATAAGGCAGCAAATCTAGAACAGGCAATTAAAATAATGCAACCGGACTCTGATGAGGCCTGGATACAAATTGAATCACATTATGCTCAACCTATTCCTCTTTGGGCAGCTGTTTGGATGAAACCTAAAGATAGTCCTCAGAGCTGCAAAAATAATGAATTGTTAAATTATACATTTAAAATTTGGGATGGAATTATGGGGAAAAAAACCCTTCCTGAATACTCTTGGTCATCTGCATTCTTATATCAATCCTGGTTCAAACCATGTACATTTACCTCAACATTCCAAGACTGGATTACAGGTGGTGTTTTCTGGCATGGTGGTGTACTTAATGATGGAATGACCCTAGAAGAGAAACAACTGGAGGAGAAATTAAGTAAAGCCTATTCCTTGGCTTCAATACTTATAGTTATCGTCTTTCTTATCCTCACTCAAATCTAAAAAACTGTCACCTACCTCCTCAAATGATCTAGACTCGGTAATATGAAAGTATTCAGAAAATAAAAAAGGAACTTATCAAAAAGTTACAAAATATTAGTACAAACCTCTACAGTAGATAATATCCTACATTATCAAAATACATGGAATAAAATGATACAATTACCTACTGACATAAAAGTTTGGCCAGAAATCTGGGCATCACCCAATAATAGATCACCAATTTATAATGTACTATTTCAGTTGGTCAAATTGATGATCTGTTGGTACTTGACACCTCGGAGGTTACACCGTATAAATAAAAATTACCCGGAACTTTGTTGGAAGGGGTGTACAGAACCTGGGACATATTTCCATTGTCGGTGGACTTGTCAGGTAATTCATCCATTCTAGAATAAAGTTCACCAACATATAAAACACATAACTACTATTGATTTACCAAATACTCCTGAAATATTTCTTTTACAATATTGGACTGACACAGAATGCTCAGACTCCACTTGGAAGCTAATTTGTTTATTATTGGCTTCTGCTCAGCTGGCTATAGCTTCAAAATGGAGATTGCTTACCCCCCCCCCCCCACAATGTCAAAGTGGTATGAGAAAATTTGGGATCAGTTTATAATGGGGAAAATAACACACAACTCAAATTATTCCTTATTTACAGAGATGTGGCTCCCTGTATTAAGCTCTTTTTTGCTGAATGTGACATCTTACCTAGCAACTCAGTGTATCAGGATACGATTTTTCTATGATCGTTCTGTCATATTTGAATTTGAAAAGGCTTGACTGTTTACCTTTTCTACTTTGTGTATTTCTTACTTGGTTATTTATTATGCTTCACTAATTGTAGATTCTTGACTTGATAATCCTGCAAGATTTCATGCAGAAGGTTGTTATTTTTTTGTGTTCTTATTTTTGATTATTTTGTATTTTGATTGTTACTTCATATGCATATGTGGGGGGGGGGAATTAAAATATAATTTTTAAAAAAATAAAAAAAATATATTATTTGATATCTTCTGTGTTATATTGTTTCCTTTTTTCTTCCATTTTTATAAATTTTATGTGTATACGGCACAGCCTTTATTGTGATATCACCTAAAGTTCTTGTTATACTTTGGCCCCGTTCACACAGAGGATTTGCCGTGCTAAAGGCACGAATGTCAAGCGGATTTTCGGTGCGCGATCACACCGCAACATCTGGGAAGCGTATCGCACCTGTGGCGTCCCGCCGAAGATGCGCAGTAAAAAACTACTCGGAAAGTGCACTAGTATCCAGAAAACGCAGGGCAGGGGCGGGTGTCTGATCACGGGAGCGCTAGTATCCCATGGCATCCAGCGCCCGTCCACGTCCCGTCGCAAACCGGATGTTTTTCATAAGCGCATGCGCACAAACACGTAACTGAAAGCAGTGCTGCTCCGCGGAACTGTGCATGCACACAAACACAAAACGTTTGCCACACCGCTTCTTTGCCACGCTCCAGCATCGCCGTGTGATCGCCAGCTAACCGCCTAAGCGTGAAGACTCAGGGGACCGTGTGCTCGGGCTACCACGCTTTATTTTGCTCCGGGGCAAACAGCCACGCCTCCCCCATGCGTTATCTGGCCCGTGTGACCAGGGCCTTTAAAAATGTAATGTGCATTTTTTCTGTGCATTTTCTTTTCTGTATCTTTAATATTTCGGGGGGGGGGGAATAAAAATTTGATCGAAAAAAAAGCCTTCCATGGCCTTGCCCCCACTGTAAAATCAGATCCTGAGACACTCATGCCCTTTACTCCTTCAGCATCACCATCCCCAACTACACCCCCAAATGACTTTGCCTCTGGATGCTCCTTGTGCTTATAAATGCCTCCACGAATGCCTCCAACCCACCTGTTCTGCGAAGCCCTGGGCACAGACCTCCTAAGTTCCCCTCTCCTCTGAAACTAAGTACCAGTTTGGTGTAGTGGTTAAGAGCAGCAGACTCTAATCTGGAGAACTGGGTTTGATTCCCCCACTCCTCCACATGTGGCTGCTGGGTGACCTTGGGTCAGTCAAAGTTCTCTCAGAGCTGTTGTCTCAAGAGCAATCCTCAGAAGAGCTGTCTCAGCCCCACCCACCTCACAGGGTGTCTGTTGTGAGGAGGGGAAGGGAAGGAGATTGTAAGCCGCTCTGAGACTCCGAGTGAAGGGTGGGGTATAAATCCAATCTCCTTCTTCTAACTTTAGCTGAACTGAATACACACCCTTTTCTTGGTCATTCCTTCTTTCACCTCCCCTTGTTGTCTCCCTTATGGTAAAATTTATATTGTAAGCTCCTTGGAGGTGGGGACCTACTGTCTTGTACTATGTGAAGCACCATACACATTGACAGTGCTCTATAAATAACAATAAATGCTGGTTTCAATTCTAACCCGTTTCTCTGTTCTTCTCCACTCAGTGCCGAGAAACTCAGTCTGTGTATTTCTTCGTAGCAATTCCCGTATTTAGTGGATTTAATTTAATGGATCCCCAAGGGCTTATTTATCGTCTCCCTCTCCTTCCTGACACAGGTGAGAGATGCTAATGAGTCCCTCTGAGTAGTCACTCGGTTGCATTGTTCCAGGAGGACAAAATAGAACCGGAGAGAAGAACATAAGAGATCTGTTGGATCAGGTCAATGGCCCATCTAGTCCAACATTCTGTCACACAGTGGCCAAAAATACCAGGTGCGATCAGGAGGTCCAGCAGTGGGGCTAGGACACTAGAAGCCCTCCCATTGTTGCCCCCCCCCCAGCACCAAGAATACAGAGCATCACTTGCCCCAGACCGAGAGTTCCTATCTATATCTTGTGGCTAATAGCCACTGATGGACCTCTGCTCCATGTGTTTATCCAATTCCCTTTTGAAGCCGTCCATGCTTGTAGCCACCACCAACTCCTGTGGCAGTGAATTCCATGCGTTAATCACTCTTTGGGTGAAGGAGTTCCTTTTATCCATTCTAACCCAACTGCTCAGCAATTTCATGGAGTGCCCACGAGTTCTTGTATTGTGAGAAAGGGAGAAAAGTACTTCTTTCTCTACCTGCTCTATCCCATGCATCATCTTATAGACCTCGATCATGTCACCCCTCAGCCGTCGTTTCTCCAAGCTAAAGAGCCCCAAGCGCTTTAACCTTTCTTCATAGGGAAAGTGTTCCAACCCTTTTATCATTCTAGATCATTTCACTGTGCTCTCTCTGCCTCTCCTTTAGATGCACACAGATAGTGTCCATCTGTCTGTAGTTCCCAAGTTCAGCTCTGAATTTCACAGCTCACTGATTGGATGAGATCAATATATTACCCATTTGCAGGTAAAATTTTCCCCCGTTCATGGCTGGGATTGTAATCCCACTGTCATGGCACCTCCACACCGCTTTAAAAGAATCTTCTCCAAACAACGTTCAAACAAGAAAGACGGCATCACAGCAGCACGAAACTGATTTAAAAATGCAAATGGAGATTCGACCGAGAAGATTGATTTAAAACGGTGCGGAGGCGCAATGACATTGCAGCCGCCACGAGAGGGCGATAAACAAATGCAGACATGCAGAAGTATGCTAGCATTATGGAACTGCGAAACCGAAATCAAATGCAGACAGTTTTTTTGAAGACGGAGTCAGAAGGCTCGCACACCGGTGGGAAAGACAAATGCAGATTCGACCAAAATCAGGCTCCCATCTCCAGCCCCTGGGCTGTTTCAGTCACCGAATAAAGAACAGGGGAGAAGATAGGAATTCCTCCTTCTCCCGTGCAGCAGTCCTGAACCAGTAGAAGAATGGAAAAGGTTCTGGAAGCTTTTGTGCAAATTTAGGTGAGGTTGAGCTACTCGAAAGAATTCTCCCTCACAGATTCGATGGAGCTTTAGCGAGGTCTTCAGGCCCGACAATTAGGGATCCGAGGGACATGGTTATACACTATACAGGATTCCTTACCTATCATCTGAGTCTGAGCTTTCCGCTAGCAGCTCCTCACGCAATGAACGCAGCACTTGCATGATCAGCAAATGATTCTTGCTGGTTGTGGTCTCTTGAAGCCTCTGGAGGAGCAGTTGAGTCGGGAGCTGGAAGTCTGGGGAGGAAGGTGTGGGCTGGAGGGGGGGGAACGGAGAACAAAAGAGGGTAGCACAGAGGGATCCCTGGCCGTTTTGAGCCTGCAGGCACATTTGGAATTCTGACACAGCATGGTAGGTGCAGCAACAAAATGGCTGCCAAAAAATGGCTGCTGCAGGAAGCGGAGCCAGCCACAAAATGGCTGCCACGACTTAACTTCAGTAACACACTGCAGAGCCTGGTGCTGTGGTGGCAGCTGCTGTCAAAGCAACGTTTTAAAAAAAATCTGCACAGCTAACCAAATCTCCAATAGTCGATGAAAAGCCAGTGGGTGTCTTGTCAGTGGGTGTCAGTGGACTCCTAGGCTAGTGGTTGCTTTAAGTTCATTTCAGTGGAGAGGCTTTCCACATTCTGGTGATTTGGTATTATGCTTTTTCCATATCAATGTCCCTTGAAGTTCACAGTGTATCACATGTGCCAGTGTATCACATGTGCCAGCTGGATTGAACGTTTATTGTTGTGGTGGTTTCGATTTTAAACCACCTTCCCCGGGAAAAACCAGGCTCGGGGCAGTATACAACAAGATAAATACAACATCATTAAACAAATTAAAACAGGTAAAAACATAAATGTTCCCTCTGGTCTAGCATCCTGTTTCCCCAAAGCGGCCAACCACCGGCGTAATCTTCGCGGGGGCTGGGGGGCTTGCGCCCCCCCCGAAATTTCCCAGAAACCCCGCCCACCCCGCGCCCTCCCAAGCCAGCGGCAAGCTCCCCCAGCTCTCACTATGGGCTCTTTAAGGCCCTTCGCTGCGGCGACTGCCAGCTC